TAACCATTGAGTTATTAAGAAAAAAGGAATCAAGAATTATTTTAATCAGAGCATTAAGAGTAATATGCATGTATGAAATACAGAATTGTAAACTTTTTAATGTGCTGCATTCTGTCTGTTGAATTCTTTTCATAGTCTTCAAACAACGTCTGAAAAACCTGATTATTTTGTAAAAAGTTGTTTCCCTCTATTCTTTCAATCCTGTTTTCAGGCTGAAAATACAGCAAATATATTGAAATACAGCTGAAGGTATACTTAAAATGTCTACTTAAGATACTGTACTTAAAATGTATCTTTTATCATGTTCCAGTTAAATTATTGTGGCAAGCTACTGTATAACTTACCCTTCACTAAGTTATTTCTTTAAAACTTATTTTTTGTCTAAATTAGCTCTTCTGGTATGACATTGTCAATTGTCATTTACAACTGTAGAAAACATACAGAACGGTACCTTTTTTTATATTCTTGTGGTCCACTAGGTGGAGGTAATGTAATGGAAATTCACAAGTTCTACACAGAAAAGATAAATCTGCAAATCTGCATTAGTTCTAGAACACAGGTATAAACGTTTGAGTTGATGTTTCAACTGAAATACTAAAATTTTGAATTCTAAATTCTTAATTAACATTTTGTCTAATTGTTCTTAAATTTTGTTATATTGGTTTACCATTATAAAACTAATTTCCATTTGTTTTTAGCAGTTATTCTTCCTGTTAGAACGACAGAAATCACATCCTTACCTACAACCTGAAACCACCTAAAATGTTCTGTAAAATGTCAGCTGCTATAGCTCTGTGTGGAGCTATAACTGTGTGGGAGTCTGGTTAGAAGTGTTACAATTATGGAGTTAATTACATTATCAGAACAATTAAGTAACTGAGACTAGTTGGAACAGAAAACAGAAGATATTCAGTCCTCCAGGAACTGAGTTGGAGACCCCTGTTGGATATGGAGCCTTCCAAAGGAGACAGTTCAGTTTCCTTTGCTGAGAACTTCTTTGAACTGATGTGACTTTCTTGACTCTTTGCTCCTATCTTGGTTATGAACTTTCTTCTTTATATACAAAAATATTTTGTTCAGTAAAATAAACCTATATAGATATATTTTTAAACAC